CTTTCCTTCCTCCTTTTTGGTCTCCACCCACACACTTGTTATTACTTTTTCCCCTCTCTGCTCCAATATTTAGTTTTTGACTTTTTTTATTTTTTTAAACATCTCAAAACACAAAGGCCAACGTTTACCTAGCAGAAAGAGGCAGAACAGCTATCCATCCGGCAGAGGCGGCACATGTGAGCACCTGCTCGGTGCAGGCTTGTGCTCTGCACTTGTGTGTCTCATTTCCCTCTTTAACCCCAAAAGAAAAGCAATTATTGCTCCCATTTTCAGAGGTGGAAAGTAAAGCACAGGAAACACAAATAAGTTTGCTAAAACCCGACTGCATGTGAACCTGGGTCTGCCCAGCTTCGTAACTCAGGCAGTTCCCAGGTACCTACCCGGTCAGACTGGAACTGCCTCACCCACGGAGATCACAAAGCCTCGAGGAGCACCAGCACACAGTGCACAGCACCAGCAGAGCACCAGGCCCCCTCAGAAACCTCAACTCAGAGACACTAACCCATGAATCGCCTCCAGACCCTCAAAAATTACATTCCTATATCACGTCATACTAAGGGGGCTCCAGGCATGGGCCACGTGAATAAGCCTTGGAGGGTGCAAACAGTAAGACTGAACAACTAGTCAGTGAGAGCAAGCTTTTGAAGGAACTCTAAAGGTCCCTAAAGCCAAGAACTATCAAAATTCAAAGATAAAATTTAAAATTCACTGTCAATTCATACGTAAATAACAAAGAACTTTTGAGAAGGAGGTTAGAGGGTTGGGAAGAGGAAAATAAATTGAAAAAAACCCAAAAAAAACCTGGTTGCTCGATGACGAAAAAACTAATCATTAAAAGAATTCAGACCTCTAAACTTGGTTTGGTCCTGAAGATACAATAAGAAGTATGTAGTTTGTTGTAGGTACAAACCTTATTATATCCTAACTAAGCAGCCCTTAGAGCTTCATTCATAATCCCCAAATATGTACGGGCAGAATGACATTTACTATGAATGAAAGCATTCACTGGAGAGTATCACATCTTAAAACATTTTATTAATTTTATTCACTATTCAAACAGTTCACTTTGTTCCACAAATGAAGAGGGAAGTCACATGGTTGTTACATTTCTGGTGGCTTATTTGGTAAAATAGGCAATTCATTGCTAGGAAGTTTTATATGTATACATACATATATACATATATATAAAGGTTCTTGTGTTTCAGCTTATATTGAATATTAAATATGTGATACAGTTACTAGGATGATAAATTCAAGAACATTCTGTAAACACATTTTTTTATTTCATATGAGTCTGGATACAGTGGTGAAAATGTTGATTTGCCTATGGCCAAGCAAATATAAAGACTTTAAAGTTTGAGAATGGGAAAAGAAAAGCAGATATGGTTTCTTAAAGATATTATACCCTCAGAATCTTAATAAAATGAGGTTGAAAGAATATCCTTGATAATCACGAACATACAATAAAACTTTAAGAAACTGGTTTTATAACATAAAATCAATATAATGGTTTAAATCCAATGATACCTGAGGTCTGCAGTTCCTAACTCCTAATTTCATAATTCTTTTGACACCTGATATTTGTGCACAGGTGCTGGTCTGTACAAACAATGCAGCATTAGATATGTAAGCAAGCTGCCAGCATTTGGGGTTCAGATGATTTTCTGACGAATAACAAATACATTTGTACCAAAGAAAAGAGTGAACTTTGGAAAGTATCTTTAATCAAAGGTAAAACTGCAGCTTCTTTTTTTGTGAAGGGAGATCCAAGCTAAAATAAATCTAACAGGAACTGCTAAGCAGACCAGCTCCTCTCAATGGGGCAGGAAGACAATAAAGAGCCGCCAGCTCATCACCAGCCCAGCAGGAGCGAAGCCAGGAGACATGAATGACACCCCGAAAGCCAGAATCCCTGACTGGGATGAGTGCTCCTGACAGAGCTGCAGTTAAAACTGGCTAGAAGAATATGGCCAAAGAACGCATTTCTTGCTTTCAAGTATTTTTCCTAAATGTCTAGTTTTTAACTTTAGAATTAATTGTAAGCCCTGGCGTTCCAAGCTGCTACCTAAGCTATGGTGGTCCTAACTGGTGGGCAGCACAGCCTTAACCATTTTCCTTAGCACTGCCCACTGTCGCCATTATGACTGGCATCTCGCATCTCATTATCATCACTAAGCTTTGGCGACAATTCCTAAATCAGCTGTTTTAAGCTTAAGAACACCTTTGACTCCGGGGCTTTCCTGCTTCTTCAAGATGGCAGGGCCCAGGTTTCCAGTGGCTATGAATCTTTCCTCTGGCTACATCTGGACTTCCTTGAATGAGATCATAAATAACCAACTAAATTCAAAACAAAGCACCTATAAATACAGCATTTTAAAATAGACATGGAATACAAGTCATAAAACATGAAAACTTACAGATAACCCATGCTGACATCTATTAATATTTGATATCTTACTGCTGACAATAGGTGGCTTTTGTGAAAATCACAAATGTCAATACAACTAATAAATATAATAAAAGGCCCAGAAAATAGGATTTCTAAGGCTCCCTTCAGCCCCATTTCCTTATCTTTCCCCCCAATCCTGCTCATCTTCTTTACCTGCCTACTTCTATTCCTGGCATCACTACTTTCTGTCACCCAAACTTAAAACCTCAAAGGTAACTCTAGACTCCTCAGCAGAGCCACCTCCTGAAGTCAATTTCACCTGCTCCCTTCCAAAGCCACCCTCTCGCCGGGTCTACTCTGACAGTCCCTCAGGTGTGTGCTCAACCAACAGGAGGGGCTTCCTGGAGCCCTGCCCAGGGGCCAGGCTGCTCACCGGGAGGCCTCTAGGGGCCCTCACTTAAATTTCTGTGGTTCCCCTCCTGTCCTCAAATTAGGGATAAAGAGCGTATTTACCTCAGAATCTCCTATGAGGTTTAAATGGATATACTGACTATAAAACGGGAAGCATCGCGCCTGGCATACAGTAAGCCCTCAAAATACGTTAGCTCTTTTAATCATGATGCAGGTGTCATTTCTTCGGTTACTTTCAAACCTTTAGTGGTTGTTGACTGCCTACAGAGTAAAACTCAATTTTGTACCAGGCAAACTATTAATACTTATTGTAGCAGAAAGAGCACAGGTCTCAGTTCTAGGCAAAAAAACAAAGAACTCAAATCCTAGCTCTTCTTATTAGCTGTGTGATTCTGGAAATCACTTAACTTCCCCAGGCCTCAGGTTTGCACAGGTACCAAATGGGGATAATATCTCTTAGGGGAGTTAATAGCTGTACTGGGTTGCATAGAATCCCCCAAAGTCCACCTGGAACCTGGGACTGTGACCTTACTGTCATACACTGTATAAATGTGTTTCGGTCAACGACAGCCCACATATACAACAATGGTCCCTTCAGATTATAACGGAGCTGAAACATTCCAGTCGCTTAGTGACGTCCTATCCACCGTAATATCATAGCGCAACACATTCCTCATGGGTTTGTGGTGATGCTGGTGTAAACAGACCTACTGAGCCACTAGTCGTACAAAAGTATAGCACATATGATTGTGTACAGTACACAATACTTGACAATGATAATAAATAACCAGTACTGATTTATGTATTTATACTATACTTTTTATTGTTATTTTAGAGTGTACTTTCTACTTATAAAAAAAGTTTGCTGTAAAAAAGTATGCAGTGTTGCTCTGGCAGCAGCTTCATACATCTCACGTTTATCTCATCTCTTGATCGCATCATTTTCGCTTGTGTTTGATTTAATCTCACGTTGTTTCACTCAGTAACACACTGTGCAGGTTTGCAGCATCGGAGCAATAGGCTGCACCATCGAGGTTTGGGCTAAGTGCCCTCTCTGATGTTCACGCAAGGACAAAAGTTCCTAACCACGCATTTCTCTGAACATATCATCATTGTTAAGCAGCGCATGACTATTGGAAATATGGTCTTTGTACATGTCATTAGTTTAGGTGACGTCAGACTGGATTAGGGTGGGCTCTAAATCCAATAACTAGTATCCTTAAAAGAGAAGACACACAAGAGACAGACACGTGGAAAGAATGCCACGGGAAGGTGGAGGCAGAGATTGGAGTCAACAGGCCACGGAACAGCAAGGACTGCTGGCAGCCACCAGAAGCTAGAAGAGGCACGAAAGGTCCCCCTTTCCCCGCCTCACCTCCCCAGAGCCTTTGGAGGGTGCATGGCCCTTCCAACACCTTCATTTCTGACTTCTAGCCTCCAGAACTGAGAGAATAAATGTTTTTTCAAACCACCCAGTTTGTGGTAATTTGTTACAGTAGCCCTAGGAAACTAACATAATAGCTAATCATTAATGCTTAAAATTACTTTCTACAAAATGACTATTCCGTGTTATACATGAGGAAATTGAGGCTGAGAGAAGGTAAGCCCATGGCCTAAGGTTACACAGTGAAGCTGGGGAGCTCAACCCCAACTGGTTGTAGACTCCATGCTTACAACCTCTCTGCTGTCACACCCCCTCTTGAATGGAATGCCACACAATGTACGCCTACCCGTATGTAACTGCCCAGAATACTGCTGCTCACGTAGTAAATACTCAGAAACCTGCAATTGGTACTCATATTCAAATTCCCTAACCTGCTTGGCTAGGTTAAGGGTCAGCAAACTTTTTTTTTTTAAGGGTCAGAGAGTAAATACTTGATACTTTGCAGGTCAAGGCAAATCCAGGCTTACTTACATAACCATTAAAAATGGAATCATTTAAAAATTTAAAAACCATTCTCAGCTCAAGTGCTGTGAAGAAACAGGCACCTGGGTGGGTTTGGACCACAGGCTGTAATTTGCAGACCATGCTCCATCTCCAAGCATCTCCGTTGGTGGTTCTACAACCCCTGGTCTGCAGGTCACTTTATATTCCTCCCTGTTACTTACTCCACTCCTGTAGGCACACATTCCTTCTGTCTCCTCCTCCCCACCCCCAAGCACACCTCCTCAATTTAGGATTCCATCACGTCTTGCCTGAATCTGTATGAGCTTCCCATCTCGCCACACCCTGAGCTACCCTTTACTGCTGTCACCAGGGCCTGTCCATCTGAAGCGCAGGCCTGACCACGTCAGTACACTGTTTGATCTTCCACAGCGCTCCCTCCATTTCCAGCAACAGTTGTAAACCCAGAAGCACGTCAAAATCATGTGATTTTGAGAACACCAATGTCCAGACTGCATGTTCCTGACATTTTGATTCAATAGAGCCAGGGTGGGCGAAACTTACAGTTAACCACTCCAAAGGCTGAGCACTGGGCATGCAGTGAATCTGCAATTATATGCTTATCAAACCTATTCTAAAGCACTTCTAAGATCAAGAATGCACTTTCCATCTATATTCCTCCAAAAGTCAAAAGATGACCATCTTTCAAAGGGGAAAAACAAACGCCACCTACCCAAGCCTCTAACACAATTGACACTGACTCTTTATTCTCTGGACTCACGTGAACTTGACTACAGGCACTAATTCATATCTTCCTCTTATTTCAATGGCCTGCATACACATCTTCCCTCCCTTATGGAACTGCACCTTCCATGAGGGCAGGTACCCACTGCTCAACACCTAAGCTCAGTGATTTGTGTATCCAAGACATTCAACGAGGTGAATGAATGCACTCTCTCTGGATCTTATGCTTTGAATTAGGCAAAAGGGACCCCAGGAAAAGTATTATAATGAAATATTTAAACATCAAGAATGAATGAATTTTAGAACGTCATTTCACAGATGCATAAGCCTAAGACTTTTAAATCACTCACATGTTCATTAATGACTTCACCCACAAAATATATCCAGACCGTATCTTTATTTCTCATACGCTTTTAAACTGTTATCCATTATCATATAAATAGAAAAACAAAAACATTCAATAAATCACAGAAGACATCCATTTCAAAATCAAGCAAGAAGTACTTATTGAGTGCCTACTTCATTAATTGAACAAGAATTCATTAACCAGTTACTATGCATACACAAAACAGTAGCACTACATAGAGGGACATAAAACATGACCACCACACACTACCCAATAACAGAGCAATGAATACAGTCTTTGGCACACCAGTTAGCATTCTATCAGTGATGATTAACTTGAAAAAGGGCTGGGCTCCAAGTGGGATGCTCTGAGGAAAGGAACTACAATACATCTGAGGCTGCGTTGTCTGTGAATGTATTTGGGTGAAGGGATGTGGAACAGAATGTATTGGGTTGTCAGAAAAGTCATGACACATTTTTCTATGTTTTCCATTGCAAAAATGCATCATGACTCTTCCGACAACCCAATAGAAGCCTGTGAATCTAAAAGGATTAACCTCAAGTCCTGACTGCCCATCCCCACCTCTGTTCCACTCACAGCCTTCCTCATCTCAGCTGATGGAAACTCCATTCTTATTGCTGGTCAGGCCAAAACCAGAGTCACTCTTGATGACTCCCCCTCTCACATGCCACATCTGATCCCTTAGGAAAACCTGTTGATTCTACCTTTAAAATATACACAGAGCAGGATCCCTCCTCACCAGCTCTGTGGTCCCTACCCTGGTTCAGGCCTCCATTATCTCTCAGCTGGATTATTGGAACAGTTTCCTACTGGCTCTCTGCTCCTATCTTTGACACCTTACTCCCTCCCCATTCTATTAACAACAGAAACAGGCGTTAAGTCTGTTGAAATGTCCAGCTGTACATCATTCCTTAGCCCAAAGCCCTGCTATGGTTCCCAGCTCACTCGAGGTTTTACTCCAAGTCTTAACAATGACCTACAAATCAGAACTTCCGTGACCTCATCTGTTACTAGGATCCTCTTAGATCCAATCACTTGGCCTCCTCACTGTTCCCCAGCTGCCCAGCACATGCCCACCCCAGTGTCTTTGCTCTAGCTGTATCCTCTGCCTGAAAAGCTCTCCTAACTCCTGTACCTCCTCCAGGCCTCCACTTAAATTTCACCTTCTCAGTGAGGCCTACTTTGACCATCCTTTTTAATACTTCATTCTGAGTCCCCATGCCCACCTGCCCTGCTCCACTTGTATTATTTTCTCCTAACAAATACCACACTCCGACATACATCATCATTTATTACTGTGCTTGTTTTTCATTGTGTCTCCACCCTGCTAGAATATAGGCTCCACAAGGGTGGTGTTGTTTGTTTTGGCCATTCATGCAACCCTAGCATGTGTAATAGTGTCTGATCTATGAAGGACACTTAAATATTCATTGAATAAAATCAGGCTTATCTTTCTGAGGATCTGATGAATAAATTTAATGATTTTAACTTAATTTCCTAACCACCATCTTCCTACTTGCTAAATACACAAAATTTCTTTATCAGAAGAGAAAAGTCAAATCACAATGAGAGATAAAAAGTTCTAAGAAAAGGTGTAGAAGTGACGTGGATTAAAGCTCATTCACACTCAAGTTTAATCAGGATACAAATACAAGATCAACAATACAAGATGGTTTCTACTTTTGGAAAGGAGATACTATTCAGAACTCAAAGTGAAGTATACACTTTGTAGGAGGGAAAACCCATCACAGTCTCTCTGTTTGGTGACTCTATTAATCACACCCCTCATTTGGGTCAGAGAGAACTCCTGCTGCCATTCACCACACCTTAGCTTCAGTACACCTGGGAGCTGTGCCAACAGGCAGGAGGCCAGGTATTAATCCTTGTCACAGTTGTAGCACCTGGTGGGGTAAGCATGTTTGCTGATCTGAACTAAATGTACACGAATGTTCTTTCACATCAACTGATAAAGGATTTCATGCTCCCAAATTACAAAGTCACATATGCAGATAGAATGCTACTGAAACGACCCTGAAACAATGTCTAAATGTTCATCATACACTTAGGAATATTTTATTTTCAATGTAGAAATGATGCTGTTAAAAAGCAATCAACTAACAGCAACAACAAAAAAAGACCTAGGAAATCATGAACCTCATATTTACAGATGAGGGAACTGAAGCTCAGAAAAGTCAAAGTGATTTATGTAAGGACACAAGTAATTTGGAGGATGGAGTAGCTGACAGTGGATAATTTACATAAACTTTTTAATGTGAACAGCAGCAAAATGGTGATTCCAAATAACACAGATATTACTATTACCATTTCTTCTGGTGTGCAATGCAGGACAGCTAGCTGCATTACAATACAATATTCAACTGCTATGCCAATGACTCCTTCAGTTTTTGTACTTTTGTTTTTATACTACAATTCTGGTGGTAATAGGCTATCTGGAGAGATAAGATTACTGGAATTGTCTTTTAAAGGAGAGTGAGTGCCTCCCATGGTAAAAGTACCTTTCTACTTTTCAAAATTAAGCATTTAGTGACCTTATGAGGAAGTGTTCCCACTTTGCCAGCAAGAAAACTGAGGCTTACAGAGGTTAAAACAGCTTGTCCGAAGCTCCCCTCACACCCACCACCGGTCCCCCAGATCCCGCACTGGCCACTGCGATGACACTCTGCACATGTGGCTCCTGGCTTGGCACGTCCCCGCTTCATTGGTAGGGCTGACTCGGCTCCCTCATCAGGCTCAGGCCGGCCCCATTTCTTCTGCATCGCCTTGGGGGGCTCGCGGCAACCTGGCACATGGCTTCTCTGTCACTAGTCAAAGAACCCAGTGAGGATTAGAGTCCTGTCTGTCCCTCCTGTAGATACAGGATCCAGTCTGTGCTCTATACACGTGGGATGACACATGTACAGGTGTTCTGGGTACAGTCTCTCCAAACAGAGCTAAGCAATACTGTGCCATTTTATTTGTGATAACCATTTAGTTCATGATATCACAGAGCTTTATAAGTAAATGGCAAGTTAAATCTAACTTGACATTAAACTTTGATTTTAAAATACTTTCAGACAAAACAGCAGATTTCTTATTCAGCCTGAAGAAAAGAAAGGTAGATTCAGGAAAGTGCTATGTTTGTAAGGGAATTGACGCCCCCTCTCTCCTCACAGAGCTTCTCAGTTGTTCGGGCTCCACCATCGTGTTTAGAAATCCTAAGATGATTAGGCAGGAACCTATGTGGATGACACTTCTGAATAAAGAGGAAAGGCCAATTGAATCCGAGAGTCATCACGAGAACGTGAGTAGGAGGACGGGTCCCTGGGCTCCTTTTGGTTCTGCGGTGATCAGCCTAACAGACTGGGAAGTCTGAGAGACCAATGACGAGGTGATGTTAGCAGTATCACCACCACCTAGCTTCATGACCAAGCCTGACCATGACCAGTCACATCGACACTTTAACCACAGAACTCAGTGATACATTTCAAAAGTCCCCCAAATAACCTTATTTTCACTAAGAAAATACAGACTGGGCCAAAGGTAAAGACTACAAATGAAGCCTTCTTAAAAAAATAGCTGGGGGTAGAAGTAGGAGAGAGGAGAAATAGGCTCAATTAAGACGGGACCAAAACAAAAAAGATGAATGACCTCAATTTCTAGCCCAGAGATTTCAAAATAAGGATGAGTTTGTAAACAGCCCGCTTATTAGACCTTTTCTCTGTATTCCTGGCACCACCCTCTCGGGGCTATTTTTAGCCACAGGAGAATGGGGAGCAGACAGGGAAGGGCTCACTGTGGCCCAGCCTTACCTTGCATGCCCTGCCGGGACTCCGGCTATCTTTAATTAATGTCGGAGGGACATTAGACCGACCCTACACGTGGTGAAAGGAAGCACAATGGTGAAATTCTACCCCGCAAGACTGATCGGCCCCACTGCTGGTGTACCATTCCTGAGGTCCCGGGGCTGTTTTTTGTTGAAAAGAGGCTCCATCTGGAACGTTTACAGAGAGCAATGAAGTAGCCCCTGAATATTTAATTTAAAAGTACAGAAAACAGGACTGCCAGCCTGTTTACTTGTCTAGGTCTGCCTCTCTGCTTTACACCCTCAGACTACATTTTAACAACAAATCACTTGTACATGATTTTATACTTCTTCTCTGGAATAAAGAAATCTCCCTTAAGGTGACTCCCTCCACCTATCTAGTCCATATTCATAAATAAAGATGAAATCAACATTTCTCATCATCTAATGCTTACAGTTGTTTCCTTTTGCAATATTCCCCAAGAAATAAGCCTAAAGCTCATAAATCATGACTTGCTGCCATCCAGATTAAGCTTTATTATATATTAGAGATTAATTATACCTTTGGAAACAAAACTGAATAAGCTAAGAAACTGATAGTGAAATATACTCTATGTACTACTCCAAACTCACCAACATTAGTATTATAAAGGCAGACTGAAGGCAGGGATGAAAAAGAGAGAGAAGATAAAAGGCTACCATTTCAAGAAAAGAAAATTGAGACCACAGGGTTACGAAGCTGTGATAGACACGTGCATACTGCCTAGTTAGGGATCAGTGAGCAAAGAATTTATGGGACTCCTGTTAAGACAAAGCAAAATATGAATAAAATTCAAACAGATTCTAAGTTTCTATCTACCGTACTGCAGACTAAAGCAAGCTGCCTTCTTCCTACACTCGACTCTATTAACCAAAATAGGTCTGTTAGACTATCTAAGACTCCGTTAGTTAATGAAAAAACCAGAATTCTACAATTCTCTTTTAGCTAAAGGAACCATATGGCTCTCTTCATTTTTGCAGAAAGGACTTACACTAAAACCATTATTAAGCTTAAGCAATGATTTCAGTAGTAGTATAGGCAGAAAAACGCCAGTCCACCACATTTAAGGGTACTTGAGTTTTCCACCCTCATTCTGGAGCTGGTTCCTCACCAGCCTCAGATGTCCATCCTGAGACCAGTTGTGTTTTCTGAGTGGGACTTGAAGGCAGGCTGCAAAGCAGATGGACGTCCTCACAGCACAGAAATGTCACTCACTAGTTGAGTGCTCGGCAAGTTCTGTAAAGAGGGGTCTGGCAGGGCCTGCATCCCCCCCCCCCCACTCCCCCCCAGTTTTCATACTTTAGTGTATAGGGAAAGGTAGGGGATGTCATGAGATGACAAAATGAAAATAAAACCATCTGAAAAATACATGAAAAGATAATTATTTGCTGGAGAAAGTTATGACAGGATTGAAAGTCAAACCATAGCCAACTGCCCAACAAGCGCTGTCCAGAACCTTCAGCGGTGAAAAAAATGTTCTACAACTGTTGTCCAATATGGGAGCGCTCCCACCAGCTATAAAGCACTTGGCATACAGCAGTGTGACTGAGGAACTGACTTTATTTTATTTTATTTTAATTAAACAGCCACATGTGGCTCACAGACCCAGCATGCAACAACACAGATCTAGAACATGGAAAAACACTCTCCTGGATAAAATAGCTCAGAGGAGCCTAATATTCCTGTCCTTTCTCCCAGGAGTCAAGGTGGGGAACAAGCTTAATTAACTCCCCTTCTTATCTGCATTAGTAATTAAACAGCACTTTCTAATCATTTTCTGTCTCATCTGAATGTGGACCTCCTAATACATGATTAGAACATCTACAATATAGTAGTGAAACTACTTTTCTCTTACCATAAACAATGAGAACTTAAGAGTTGAAATAATTATTTTGAATTTAAAAATTTCTCCCCAAGTTGAAATGCAAACTTTGGACCAAATGTTTACAACAAAAAATTGTTTAAATTGCTGAAAGATTTTTATTTATCTTTTTTTGTTGTTGTCCTCCTCTCAAAAGTCATAATAAGGCCTTTTATGTGATTACGCTTTGAGACCTTGGGGGAAAAAGCAACCTGTAAACAAAATCCCAAGTGCTCAGCCTCAAAAAGGATTCATTCCAATAGCAACGGGGTAATTAAGGTGGTGGTGGTGGGAGGAGGTGAGCTGCTCTTTAAAACCACAAGTTCTGAACATCTAGAACGTGTTCAAAAAACTTTATTTAGCCTGACTTATGATATTCATCTGATATGCATTCCTAAAAATCGCCAACACTAGCATCCTTGATAATCACTGGCTGTAAGCAAGTGCTTTTGGCCTTACGCACTGCACACTATTGCTTTAAAACGCAGTACATTCTAAAGACATGACATCTAGGGACACAGGCTCCCTGTATATTACACACCAAGGCTACAGCAGAAACAAACTATATTGAATATCAACTGGTGTTCTTTCCGAAGTGCTCAAAGATTATGTTCAGTGCTCTTAAATCTGTTTATAAAATGGTACTCGTTTTAATGAAGGAAGTTTCGCAAATCCCTAGCAATAGGAGACAATTTTAGTTTTAGGATGCAAAAAATAAATAAACCACATGGTTTAATAAGACTACATAAACTACTGCTGTAAACTCAAAACTGGTCTCAGAACAAACATACATTTTCTAATAATTTCAACAGTAGAGCACTTGACAAAACCAAGTATATGGTCTGAATGACAATAAAATCAGTGAATGAACTGATGCCACCCAGTAGTGCTAAGTCACCTGTGTCAAGGCTGCAGGTTTCTGTACTTGGCTCTACCCTTTCAACTATTTACCAACAATTTGCATTAAGATCACATAAAAATGTAAAAAGGCAGCCAACATGGGTCCAGATTGATGTAACAATGAAATTTAAATGTAAGGTCCTGCATTAAAGGTTCAAAGAGTCAGTCCCACCAGCACCAGCAAAAGTCAAGGATTTATAGCAACTGATGCCAAAAAAGGCACAGAGAATGCAGAAGCAGGTCCACTACAGGCTGACAGCGGTATGGTTGCTCACAGAGCTGATTCAATCTTAGACGGTCTTGACAAAATGTGAGTCACACATCAGAAGGACTCACACACTTGGAAGGGGAGGAGAGCAGCAGAGGGGAAGGAAGAGAGACTGCTGTCTCCCAAGGTCGAAAGGGCTGACGTGTTGATGAGGAATAGACTTATTTTGTGCGGTTCCAGGGAACAGAAAGAGAATCAAGACAGGCAAATTTTAGTCAAGTACGTACAGGGAAGAATATGTCAAAGATCAGGGTTGTTCATAATTGGGCTGGCAGATCGGGAAAGGCAGTAAGCACTTCATTACTGAGGACCAGACCTGCTGACCCAAGGAGGTTTCCACCCTGCAAGGAAGTTGGATTGGGTAATTCCTTCTCCCCTCACCCCCAACGAATAGAAGACATTCACAGTCAAGACCACCTCCCTAACTCCAACACCTCCCACTCTCTCTCATTCAAGGCATTCTATCAGAATGCAAATCAGTGAGGGACGGTAGGACAGGGATCACTTTTTAAAATAACAATCTGCAATTTTTAATGGTTTAACAAAAGTTAGGGACACTAAAAACTACTTATAATAAAACAAGCTCTGACAGCTGGGCAGCTAAATCACTGAGATACCAGAAATACTGCTCTTGTACACAATATTAGATGCTCTATATTCTAGGTAGAGTCCCTACATCATTTTCCTAAATAATACTCTTAATTTCAGTCTTGACAGACTCCAAACTCAAAATAACTGAGCTAAAACAGACTTTCTTTAAACTTCTTAAAATTTTACAAAGGTTGCAAGCAAGAAGCCTGTGCTGGAAGTTCTTAAACTGCCCCAGGTAGTAACTCAGAGAATTAATCCTAATTCCTCTACACAAGCAGGGGCTGAGAGGTGTGGGGTGTGAAAAGTAAACTTACCTGTATTTGCAGATATCAACTCTTCCCCTTTATCTCCATGCTTCCCAAAACCCATCGCTAAGTAACACTGCAGTGTTAAATGGATGCCTAACATGATTTGGGTTCTATTCTAATTCTACCCTAGACACAAGATTACAGATTACAGAAACTCATTTACTCAATATTCAAACTCCAAAATGATAGCACTGTCATAAAAAGTACTCTCAGAACCTTCTCTGAAGAGTACCCACTCCCAGTCTGGAAATATTTTAAGGAGGAAGCTCCCTGCCTGCAATCCACCGTACACTGAGGGAAACAGCCTAGCTGTCCACATCCAGACGTGTAGGCTATTAGTCTGAAAGAGGGGACAGCGTTTCTGTCAATGTCATCCCTTTCACCCTGAACAATACAGTCCACACTATCTGCTCCAAAGGCCAGGCTTTACCTTTCTGAACGTGGATGATGTCGGGGAAGTTGGCCAGGTGCCCCTGATACAGCGCTAACAGGTCCATGACGGGGTCCAGGTCCTGCCTGGGCTGCTCGGCGAAGAGCTCGCCAATGGCGTCGTAGGCATCTCCGGTGAAGGCGATGGCCTGGTTCAGGCGGGCCGAGAAGGCCTGCTGGTCCAGCTCAAAGGCCTGGCTGAGGCCGCGGAAGGACTGGCCCACCTTCTGATACTCCTTCTTGAAGCCCGTCACCTGCTTGCGTGCAAACTCGTTGGCCGTGTGGTTGAGCTGCAGCGCGCTGTCGTCCATCTTCTTGGTGAAGCACTTGAAGCCATCGATCTTGCTCTCCACCTCCTGTAAGTCCAGGGCGGCGGCAGGGGGCGTGCTCAGAGTCAGGAAGAAGTTGGCGCCCACCATCTCGTCCTTCTCCGCCTTCCTCTTGCCCTGCTTCCAGGCCTTCTCGTCAGTGCTGCTGGGGCACGTCAGGAAGTGCTGGAAGACGTCGCACTGCGCCAGCACCGGGTGGCTGGCCATGTGGTTCATCCACCAGATCAGGCCCTTCCTGCGCTTGGAGATGAAGTCCTCCTCGAAGCGGCCAGTGGCCTGCTTCTCCGGCAGGTGGGGCACCGAGATGACGGGGAACTTCTCCGCCAGGCGCGCGTACAGCCAGTCGAAGTGCTTGTAGCGCCGGTGCACCGGCACCTGCGTGTGCGTGGGCACCAGTTTGTAGGAGATGTAGCTCTTCATGCCCTTGAACTTGGTCTGCTTGGTGGGGTCGTCGATGGTGCACTGGAAGGGGTAGGGGTTCTCCTGCCACTCGGGGCCGTAGGGCCCCAGCACCACGCACAGCTTGTCCCCGTCCTTCACGAAGCCTGACGCCTCACCGAGCACGAAGGCCTCCCCGCCCGACTTCACGAAGGTGGAGAAGCGGTTGAGGTTGCGGCTCACGGTGGCCGAGCTCTTGGCCCCCGACGAGTGGTGCTGCGGCGGCGCCGAGCCACCGCGGGAGCCCAGCGATAGGTCGGAGCGCGTAGACAGGCGGTAGCGGCTGGCCGCGCCCCCGCCGCCAGACGACGAGCCGTCGAGGTCCGGGTACGCGCTACTGCCCAGCGCGCCAGGTTCGTCCGCCACCGTGGAGCTGTCGTCCCACTCGTCGTCCCAGTCATCGTCGCTGCCCTGGCTGGCCTGGTAGCTGCCGACGTAGAGTTGCTGAGGCGACGGCTGCAGGGCGCCCCCGCCGTACGGGAAGCCCGCGCCCAGCGGCTGGAAAGTGCTCGGCGGCGGCGCCTGCTGCGGCTGCAGCAGCGGCTGGAAGGCGTCGGGCGGCGGCTTGAAGGAGGCGGGAGGCACGGCGGGCTGGGGGTCGAAGCCGCCGGGAGGCACATTGGCGTAGCGGGCAGGGGCGCCCGGGCCGCCGTCGCCGGGCGGGCCGGGCTCTGGGGCGCGGATCACCTGCACGTACGAGGCCGGGAAGAGGCCGCGGTCGCCGCGGCTATTGACCCCCTCAAGCCAGCCCTCGATGTCCTGCTCGCTGCACAGACTCAGCACCTCGTGCTCCCTCAACGAGATCTCGCCCGGGTTCTCCGACCTGAAGTCGTACAGCGCCCGGGCACGCAGCGCCATGGTCCCGGCGCCGCGGCGGGAGGCCCCCAACTCTGGGCGCCCCGAGCCCGCCCGAGGGGCCCAAGGGGGAGCCCGCGCCCTGGCGCGCGGAGAGGAGCCCCGAAGGCAGCGCGCGCTCCTGAGCCCCCGCCCGCCTGTCGCGCCCTCCTCGCCGCTCCGCTGGCGGAGCTGACTGCGGAGCTGAGCCGCAGCCGCCGGCCGGGGGCGGGGCCCGCGGCCTCCCACGTCCCCAGCTGCGCTAATCTATGGCCGAGAGCCGCGCGCCAGGCGTGAGCAAGCGATGGCAGAGCTGCCGCGCCCGACCCCGGTCCGACTCTGTGGCCGCTATTGCCCCCTCGTGGACAGTGCGGTGCAGTCAGGCGCCGGAATGTCAGCCGCGAGGGAAGGTCTCTCTATTTCAAGAAGCGAATTGTCTGAGAACTTTTAGGCTTTTAAATTAAAAAGCTTATCCTAGAAAGTAAATGAATACATATTTGCATTCCTGATAAACGTTCCCACTCGGAGCGTTAGGTGGATGTTCCTTGAATGACTTAACCCACGCATCTAATAAAGGATTTTCAATGAATATTAGCAATTTCCCCCAAGAAGAAAAATGCTGGAGCTGTACGCTGACAGAGCAGCTCCCTTTCATCTTCTACCCACTGGAGCCTTTAGGCAAGACAGGGAGGACAGTGACAAGAGCACAGTAAGGAAGGTGCTGTGTTTGACAAATGAAGAGGCTAAGGGTAACGTAGGAAGGGACGCACCGGAGAGTTTGCAACAAAATAAGTCTGCACAGAGACCTAGCGTTTTGCATGTGTCTCTTTGCCTTAAAATGTATGTAGTGCAGTGAATGAGAGCTTAGACTTCTGAGCCAGGGTGCTGGGTTTCAATCTACCTTATGACAATATCTAGCTGTATAGCCTTGAGCATTTCCTACTTTAGGCTTTGAAACAGGAAGACTAAAAATCTATTTCAGGTGTGAAAATCACCAGGCGTCTGAGGTGATGGCATTTACAGATGGGTTGGGCTGCTTCATATACACAATGGTTGAGGATCCATGGGTTGTTGTGGGAATTCGTTAATACGTAATGTAATCCCTATTTTACATATGAGGAAAACGAAACAGAAAGATTAATATGTGGCAAACACTTTACGTTGTAAACACAGTTTAAGTGTTTGCTGCCGTATTGCTGCTGTTATTGTTATTTTGGAAAACGAAAACCCTGCCCTCCTTCATAAACAAAATAGAGGTCTCAAAATCACAAACCCAGGGTGTACGCATTCCTTGTCTGAGACCAGTGGCCTTACTATACATATTTGCATAATTTTAAGATAAGTAGATTAAAAAATCACTTCCTGAAATATTAATCAACTCCAATCTCTTCTAGTTGCTTTGTTTCATATCTTCGTTTCCTTCAATGTATAATTTGCCCAAAGCTTTTTCTTCTCATAATCCCCTTATTAAGTCTGCCTATTCAAAGTCTGCCTTTGAAGACACCTCTAATTGGGATTCAGCATTCATGTGTCATTAATTTCAACTTGTCCTCTGACCCTTTTCAAGCAAATCTGGGAAAGAGGCCAGAAGAGTATACAATTATTGTAAGGGCCATGGTATTCTAGGCATCTTGCCCAAAACCACCAAGCCAGTACACCAGAATTACTCCCACAGTGTTTATTTCTCATGCAAAACCTTAATTCAGTTCAGTAAGCAAATTCTGAATTACAACATTTTTAGGTGAACATTTTGGGTTAGGACTCTTCTTACAGTAAGTAACAGAGGTCATTGAATTTTAATGTCAACAATTTATGTGGTCAGAAACATGAAGTCAACATTTACTAAACATCTAGAGTACAATTTCTTTTACTTATTAACTCACGAGAAGCTAACCTAGAATATTTAAGATAAATACATTTAGTTTCACCCTTAACTATTCATCTGGTAGTTGCTTTTTCATTAAAGAGTTCAAGTAACATGAAACTTGCAATACTTCAGGCTTTGAAATAGGGAGACTGAGAATCTGTGTCAGGTGTGAAAATCACCAGGTGTTTGAGGTGATGGCATTTACAGATGGGTTGGGCTGCTTCATAAAAACAATGGTTGAGGAACTATTGGGTGTCAGGTTGTTTCCAGCACCAGTGCACAAGCAAGTGTTCAGCTGGTTGGAGCCTGATGGGAGGCCAGGCGTTAGGCTCCGCGAAGGACAGGGACAAGCTATTCCTGGTGCCTGACCCTGAGACACCCACGTGGCTGGAAAAACCTTACCCCATAGGGTCTTGAATATAGACACAGTAATATATTTTTAAAAGATTTCTCTGGAACATGGAGTGTATTATCCATAATTTAGTTTCACAGTCATCATTATAACTATCAACTATTTCTATTTATTACATTTTTGTGAAAACAAGTCGGTAGGGGACACAAATGGCCCCAAACAACTGTATCTTCACACCTCTTCCCTTGGCCTGACGGGCCTTTGGTGGCCTGGCCTCTGCCTCCTATCCGTCTCCTCCACTAGAGAGAAGCCACAGTGGTTTCTTTGCTATTTCTGGAACAAGCCAAGCATATTTGTGCCTCGGATTTTTTTTTTTTTTTTAGCTGAGCCATTCTGCCACCTGTTGGCAGCTCAGCGGCAGCTCAGCTTGGGCTGGGCATCAAACCGCTGTTGCTCAGAGCTCGCACTCTTGAGAGAGCTCTTAACCAACTGAGCCACTCGGCCGGCCCTCGCATTTTTTTTTTAATAGGCTTTATTTTTTTAGAGAAATTTCAGGTTCACAGCAAATTTGAGCAAAAGTTACAGATATTTCCCATATGCTTCTGTCCCCACACATACAAAGCCTCCCCCACTATCAACATCCCCCATGAGAGTGGCACATTTGTTACAATTCATGAACCTACAGTGACACATCATTACCCAAAGTCCAGAGTTTCTGTTAGGATTTACTCTGGGTGTTGTACATTCTTTGGGTTTGGACAAATGTATAATGACATGTATCTGCCATTATAGTATCATACAAAATAGTTTCTCTGCCCTAAAACTCCTCAGTGCTCTGCCTAGTCATCCCTCCCTCCCCGCAACCTCTGGCAAACTCTTATCTTTTTACAGTCGTTATAACTTTGCCTTTTTAAGAATGACATATATGTAGTTGGATTCATACAGTATGTAGCCTTTTCAGATTGGCTTCTCTTGCTTAGTAATATGTATTTGAGTGTCCTCCATGTATTCTCATAGCTTTTTAGTTCATTACTTTTTAGTATTGAATAATATACCACTTCCTGGATGTACCACAGTTTACTTATCCATTTAGCTACTGAAGGACATCTTGGTTGCCTCCAGGTTTGGACAGTTATGAATAAAACTGCTATAATCATCCCTGTACAGGTTTTTGTGTGGATATATTTTCCATTTCTTTGAGTAAATACCAAGGTGTACAATTACTGGGTTGTATAGTAAGAGTATGTTTAGTTTTGTAAGAAACTGTCAACTCTCTGCCAAAGCAACTCGACCACTTTGCATTCCCATCAGCAATGAATGAGAGTTCCTGTTGCTCCACATCCTCACCAGCATTTGATGTCAGTGTTCCAGATTTAGACCATTCTAATAAATGTGTACTGGTACCTCAGCGTTGTTTTAATTTGCATTTCCCTACTGACATATGATGTGGAGTATCTTTTCATGTGCTTATTTGCCATCTGTATATCTTCTTGGTGAGGTATCTGTTAAGGTCTTTGGATCATTTTTAAGTCAGGTTGTTTGTTTTCTTATTATTGAGTTTTAAGATTATTTTTTATATTTTGGACAACAGTCCTTTATCAGATGTCGCTTGAAAATATTATTCCCAGTTTTTGGCTTGTCTTCTCATTCCCTTGACATTGTCTTTCACAGAGCAGAAGTTTTTAATTTTAATGAAGTCCAGCTTATCAATTAGTTCTTTCATAGATAACGTCTTCGAAGTTATATCTAAAAAGTCATTGCCATACCCAAGGTCATCTAGGTTTTGTCCTATGTCTTCTAGGAGTTATATAGTTTTGAATTTTACATTTAGGTCTCTGATCTATTTTGAAGTCATTTTTAAGAAGGGTTAAGGTCTGTGTCTAGATTCATTTTTTTGCATGTCCAATTGTTCTGACATCATTTGTCAAGAAGACTCTTTTGTCAAAGACCAGTTGGCTATATTGATGTAAATCTATTTCCAGGCTCTCTGTTTCATTCCATTGATTATCTATTCTTTTACCAATACAACACAGTCTTGATTGCTATAGCTTTAGATTGAGGCTTGAGGTTGAGTAGTGTCAGTCCTCTAACTTTGTTGTTCCCCTTCAACATTGTGCTGGCTATTCTGGGTCTTTTGCCTCTCCACATAAACTTCAGGATCCATTTGTGAATATCTACAAAATAACTTGCTGGGATTTTGATTGGGATTGCATTGCATCTATAGATCAAGTTGTGAAGAACTGACAGCTTGACAGTAAGTCTTACTATCCACGAGCATGAACTAGCTCTACATTTATTTAGTTGTTCTTTATTTTGTCAGAGTTTTGTTGTTTCTTCATATAGATCTTGTACATATTTTGTTATATTTATACCTAAGTATTTCCTTTTGGGGTGGTGCTAATGTAAGTGGTATTGTGCTTTTAATTTCACTTTTTTAAGTTCCACTTTTTTATTGCTAGTATGTGTAGGAAAACAGTTGGCTTTTGTAAATTAACCTTGCATCCTGCAGACTTGCTATAATCCCTTACAAATTTCAGGAAGTTTTTTTCTTTTTGGGGGATGGGAAGGGTTTTTGTTCATTCTTTTGGATTTTCTACATAGAAAATCGTATCACCTACAAACAAAAACAGTTTTATTTCTTTCCAATCTGCATGCCTTTTATTTCCTGCTCTTCTTTATTGCATTAGCTGTCTGATTTTGGTATTAGGGTAATGTTGGCCTCACGGAATGAATTAGGAAGTATTTCCTCTGCTTCTATCTTCTGAAAGAGATTGTAGGGAATATGCATAATTTTTTTTCCTTAAATGTTTGGTAGAATTTACCAACGAATGCATCTGAGCCTAGTGCTTTTTGTTTTGGAAGGTTATTCATTGTTGATACAATTTCTTTAATAGATGTAGGCCTATTCAGATTATCTATTTCTTCGTGTGTGAGTTTTGGCACATTGTCTTTTAAGGAATTGGTCCGTTTCACCTAGGTTATCACGTTTGTAGACAGAGTTGTTCATAGCAGTCCTTTATTATTCTTTTAATGTCCATGGGATT